CACAGCCAGGTATCGGTGCCAAAAAATGGCATCAGCGCAACACTAAAATTAACCAAGTACTACAACAACGCATGAATAAAACCACCTTCAACTGCTAAATTTATTCCAGATCCAAGAGGGAATCGATACAGTTTTACTGAAGTTAAAATATATTTCATACAACTTTTTAGTTTTTACAAATGTATACAAAGAAAGGAGGACCTAAACTAATTTTAAAGGGATTAAGCATTGAATGAATATTGGGGTTTGGATTGACGAAGGACAAGCTGCTGATCAAAAGTCAAGGAGACATCAGTCCATCTGTAATTTTGTTTGAACAACAAAACAGGCTCAGATTAAACTGTTTTACCAACCATTTCCAAGTTTTTCATAAATCTTTTGAATTTACATGAACATTTCCAGACTTAATTTGTTCGGAGTAACTTTCTGCTCAGTGTAAACTCCTCGCTCTCATGTTATCACAGTAAGTGACCACAGACAGAACTGCTATAACTGATAGAGACACAGCTTCTCACTCCAAATTTGTTCCCATCCGCGTCTCATCAGCAACCAGCAGCAGCAGCGCGGGGAATGCTCCCTCTCTCCCACACATCAAAGCTTTGCAAACGAGGGCTCATGTTTATCTAAATTACAGAAGGAATCCTTTCAGCTTCTTTAATACAATAGGGTGGGGGCATGAAAATGTCAATGCATTTCCATTTTTCACGACTCAGTTCCTATTTCAATTCCAGAGCTCCTGTAGGGGGATTTCATGAATGGCTGAGTGTGGACTGCAGCTCCGGATGCCGGTTCTCCTTCACTACAGAGCTGGAGACGAGGGGCGGGAGGGTAAAGAAGCTCATCTGGAAAAGACCGCAGCAGGTTCCTACACAGACTATGGTTACATTAAACAGTGGGGGTCCTGGGGGCCCGTGGAATACTGTGAGGTTCTGCTGCAGGTCAGAGGGGCCCTCATACTTTACATCATACAGGTTTAAAGTCATGAATGAGAAAGAGAGAAAGTCATTTAGAGTTACTCATTTATTTGGACTCCATTCTAAAAGGGACAAAACCCAGGCGGGGTGCCGCGCCGGGGCCGTCACCGGGGCCCCTGCGACCGGTGCTGCTGCCCCGTTTTTGACCCTGACAACGATGCCCCCTCTGCGCTGCTAAACCCGCACCTCGCCTGGTTACTGCTGAGTGTGTGACCCCGGCATGTGTGAAACTCTCACAGGGCCGTGGAGCCCGCTGGGACTTGGCTGCTCCTGCAGGACTTCCCCGCCTCTTTTTGGTCCCCCCAGCAAGAGCCAAGAGGAGGGGAGGGGGGGGGACACATTTGGACGTGAGAGCATGGCAACCGGGAGACAAAACTTGGAAGCTGGGAAGTGTTTCAAGGCCAGAAAAAGCAGACGCCCTGGGAGCCGCACTTTCAGACCTCAGATCAACATCTATGAGTGCAACACGCTCTACGCGACGGCGTCCTCGTCACGGAGACGCCCGGCAGCCTTGGTGGCTGTCTGGACTCTGACAGCCAACAAACAGGTTTGTTATCCTGGAGCAAAAAAAAAAAAAAGCTGACGTGACACCAAACTTCTGCAGGAGAGACAGAAACAGACTGAAGCAGGCTCTCACAGTCGCAGTGTTTTTGGTGAAACGCCAAACATGAGGCATTGACTCATGATGGGAGGCGCCCTGCAAGCACACAGGACCAGAAATGTCACTTAAATAAACATCGCAGAGCTTTTAGGCAACAAACCGAGAGAAAAACACTCAAACTGAAGCAGAAACAATACAGTAAAATCCTAATAAACTCAGACTCTTCCACAGACGGACGACTCATCTCCACTTATTAAGGAGCAGCTTTTCAACTAAAACACATCCCAGCGTAAAAGTCTGTGGTTCAGATCGAACTATGACACCAGAATCTACCAAACAAGCAGCAATAGGTGACTGCTGGTCCTCCCAGAGACTCAGCTGTAATGTCAAACTGCTGCAACGCATCAACTGTCAAACATCTTTTTTTAAATCACTGAATCATCAAAAACCTTCAATCAGCTCCAGTAAAAATTAAAAAAACACTAAAAATGGTCAAATCTGGTCTAAACTAATTTTCAGATTACAGATTCTTTAGAAACTCAACTTCCAATATTTTAAACACAAACTTTTTCCTTTTTTTTCCTGCTTTTAAGGCAAAATAGTCTAAAAAAAGTGCAATAAACAGACTTTTTAAACCTGAACTAAACTGTAACACAAAATTACGCATCATACAAAAGACAATTTATGATGCGAAAAGGGTTTGATATATAAATGAAAGCATAGAAATTCTGAATTAAATAAAAAAATAATAATAATTTCTATCTTTACAACATTTTACACCTTATAAATCTTCTAGGTGTAAAATCTACGCTCTTAAATGGGTTTAAAAATGATCAGATCAGCTCTCCTGTAACTACGAATGTTTCATCTGATCAGTTTAACTTTAGTCCTGAGTCTTTAAAATAAAGCTGATGAAATTTCTGATCTTTTTGGGCATTTAGAAAACTTTACTGGTCAGTTTTAGACAGATTTAGTCCAGATTTCAGATGAACCGATGAGGAAAAGATCCATATCAGACGATTTTCTTCTGATGACAGGTGATCGACAGGCAAACCTTTTTACAAAATTCTTATTAGATAAAAACTATTATCAGAATAGAAAAGCATGACGATCAGAATTTGCTGTAATATTTTGGATTTAATTATATAATTTTCTGTTGGATTACAAGCTGCTACTTCTATCATAGACGCTGCAGTCCATGTTTTCTCTCCTGTGCATAACTCCTCAGGAAAAAAATGTAAATTTGTGAAACTATAAGCTTGGAGATTAGAATAAAACAACAAAAACTTCCTTGTTGCACCGTGATATGAATGATTCAGTGGTTTTCAGCTGGAAATATCTCCGTTCATCCTTTTCCTAACAGAAATTAAACCTTAACTGATCGGAACTGGACTCTTTCAAACACAAAGCAGGTCAGGTTTGACTTGTTAAGGTTCCTGCATAACATCATCCAGGAAGGTTTTCAGCTGTTTGGAAACACTTGCTTTCACATGGTTTTTATAAACAAACGTGCTTTTGGTGCAGATTCATTTGGTCCAGGTTTGACCTGCTTTTGACAGCTGCTTAAATCCAAAGTGGATCTAGAGCCCAAAAAAAAAAAAAACAGCAACAGAAAAATATAATATTTGCAAAAACTCTACTTTTTTTTATTTTTACGCACAGAACAGAAGTTAATCCAGTTTCCTCTGATAAAGAGTTTAAAATAAAGACTTAATTTGCCCTATTTTTATTATTAAATAAAAGTTTTTGTTATGATGAAGTGTGCTTTATTAGACTCTGTAATTACAACATTATATTGCAGCACTGCTTCAAACAGTCCAAGTGTTTCCATTTCCAAGCTTTTCCTCATTTATTTTCATCCAAATGCTTAAAAACTATAAACTCGGTCTATTTTGTGTTTCTCTGTTTATATAAACCGTTTTCTGGCTCATCAACAGCATTTTAAAGAATGAAAGGAGAGAGAAAAACTTCACTCCAGGTTTGACACTTTAGTGCAAAAACTGATCTGATGTTTTGGTTTATAAATAAAGGACGCAGATATTTGAAAATCTGTTTTTTTTTTAAAGAATCTGTAATCTGTGAATGAATCCAGTCCAGGTTGGAGCAGCTGCGGGTTTCTAACCGGAGCTGATCAAAGTTGTGGCAGAGTCCGGATCAGCCTTCAGTGGAAGTTCAGCGCGGCGCGGCGCAGCGGGACGCGCTGCAGAACCGCCGGCGGTTCGGGACGCTTACCTGGGATTGGTCCGGTTCCAGAAGACAGCGTAGCGGTCCGACACCACCTTGGACGCCGGATCCTGGCCGAACACACACATCCCAATAATGAGGATGAGGAACAGGATCATTTCCACCTGCGGCATGTCTGCGCTGAGCTCCGGTTCTGGTTCTGGTTCCGCCTTTTCCCTGCGTCAATCTGACTTTAAATGTGTATTTTGTTGCGTTAAAGCTGCAGATCTCAGATCAGTTCCTGCTGGTTGAACTCCGGGGCGCACATGGAGCGCCGCGGCTCTCCGTGTCTCTGCGGAGGCTTCAAACTGACGGAAAGCAGCGGAGGATCAGCTTTTTCTCCGGATCCGGGCTGAACTCGGAGCCGCTCCTGTCCTGTTTGACACGCAGAGTGAAGCGAAGCAGAAAAATGACGCGCAGTGTCTCCTGTGGGGGTGTGTGCGCCAGGAGCGCAAAGGACGCGGCTGCTCTGTGCGTCTAATTGAAGGAGAACCAAGTGAGGAGCGCTGTGGCTCCTGCTGCCATGCTCTCTCCCGGACCAACCCCCTCCTCTCTCTCTCTCTCTCTCCCTCACCCTCCCTCCCCCTGTGCCAGCCGCCGCACGCTGGAAAAAATGTCCCCCCCTCAGCTCCAGCTTCTACGGAAGAGGAGTAGGACCACTGGAAAAAAAAAAAAGTTAACTGATTTTTTAATTTTATTTCAGTTTTTTTATTTTCAGTTTAATATGGATCTCATAATTCTGACTTTTTTTCTTAGAATTCTGACTTTAATCTCAGAATTCTTATTTTTTCTCATAATTCTGACTTTAATCTCATAATTCTGACTTTAATCTCATAATTCTGACTTTAATCTCATAAT